TGTGCCTCATTTATATGTAGGGCACCCACTGGATTTTATGGGTTTGTGAAACAAAACAATACACATTATGGGGGACAACGGAAATGAGATCAGAGCCTCGGACTCCTCCTACAGCACCGTGTCGCTACGTGGTTGTGAGGTGAGAAATGTAGCCCGTTAAGGGATCCAAATATGTTATAAAGACACTAAAGTTCCTTAATTTTGTATTCCATTGTATATTCCATGTAGTCAATTTCAATGACTGGCAGTCACAGTTCATTATCTATATAGGTCTGACATTCATAACAAACACACAACAGCTGTGTCACAAACATTCATGTATATGTTACTGCAGCCGGGAGCAGAGTGTCAAGTAGGAGGGACAAGGTCATGTAGGAGCGGTTTATCACGAGGGGTTGGAGGGGTATATAATGAGGGTTAGGGTTACGGTGTCAGATAACAACAGTTATAAACCCCTCCCAAATTGCACTTCGTACTCAACATTGCCCCTCCCACTCGGCATTCGGCTCCTGGCTGCAGTGATATGCCTTTCTACTGCAAGTCCAATTGCTTTGATTTACTCCTACCAATAACCAATCGCTACCCATGGATTTTCTACAAATGTAATTAATCTTTTGGCCACAAGATGCCAGCATATAACAGATTATGTAACATAATTAGTACATTTGACATGGCAAAATGATGTTTGATGTTAAAGGGAGTCTTAAATCAGTGTTTATGAGGACTTGTGAACAGAGTAGCATTCATTCAGAAATAAATGTTCTCTTGTGTCTGCAGATGGAGGTACAGTTTGCTGTGAAGAGCGGGTCAGACTCTCGGGATGGGACCATGGACCTGCTACCCATCAGAGACCTAAGCATGAAAGGCTGGGGTGACAGCTGGATGAAAGACTGCAGAGCAGTGAATCCCATGAAAAGCAGCTGTTCAACATGGAGGGACATGCTTTTTAAGGCTTTGATTTGAGACAGGAGAAACAATGGAGGACGGACACTGGATTGTATATCCCTAGCAAAGCTAAGGGCAATGGGAGCCAAAGGAATTTTGGGCAGTATAAATGGTTTGATCTCTTAAAATTTGATTTGAAGTGACTCATAAATCATGATTTCTAATGTGGGAAGTGACTTGAGAAAATATTAATTTAATTTATTCAGATCGTTATATGTATCTGAAGCTAAACTTTGTCTGAAGATTACAGGATAATATGTATCCTATGTGCAACTTACCTATTTGCTATGCCATTGTAAAAACTATAATGCACAAAATTATTTACTGAACATTTAAAAACATTGCAGGGATATTTTGATGTCTTCACGTGTGTGACGCATGGCCACTATTGTGGTAAATACTGTACATGGGTCAAAAGGATTTTTTTTCTACAATATTTTATTGGACAGCACATTCTTTCCTAATAAAAGGTATTTTATTCACCATTGCAGGGAATTCATGTTAAGCAAAATTCAACAATAACTGCCGTTTTAAGCTGACGCGGCTGAAATTGGTTACTTTGCAGTTTCCACATTTGTTTGGTGTCATTCATCCATCCATTTTCTGAAACCGCTTATCCTGTTCAGGGTTGTGGGGGTCCAGAGCCTATCCAGGAGGCTACGGGCTCAAGGCAGGGAACAACCCAGGATGGGGCGCCAATCGGGCTCTTATTCGCACCTTCTTATGCTGCGGCTTCGATGCAGGGGGGCGTTCACAGTGGCATATACCACAGTTATGAAAATACAAAACAACACATGGAAAAAATCTTTAAGCTACACAAATATGTATGTCATACATCCGTGTCACACCCCGCTCCGTCCGCTCCTAATGTGTGCCACGCCCACCTCGTTACCTCGTGTTCAGCCCTGATTGTGATCACCTGTGTCCTGTTATTTCTGGCTTGTCTCTTGTATTTAGTCCTAGTCTCAATCAGTCTTGTCAAATCTGTCATTGTAGTGTCTCGTTAATGTCCAAGCGTGTCTCTCCTTGGATTATTAAAACCCCTGTTTACCCGACTTCCTGGCTGTTCTCGTCTGCTTCCCGGCTCGCCGTCTCCGAACGTGACAGAATGACAGATCTCTCTCACACGCTCAGCGCTGCCAGGGAGGATCTCACCCTGGACGAAGAGGTCATTTGGTGGACCAATATGCTGGAACTTCAGGGGGATCCAGTGGCCCGCCCGCTAGTGGAGAGGTGTTGGGTGCTCCTGAAAAGGAGGTATGACATTGGTGAGGAGCAGCTGCGTGCAAAGGTGGGAGAACACCTTAACACGAACATCACCAGCGATCGGCACCCGAATCTCGGAAAAACAAAAACCAGAAAATACGTCTCAAAACCAATCCGCTGGGAAACCACAACACTACCTCAGTTCCTACCTTGACTCACCTCACCGCAAGTTCAAACAGATATTTATTTTCACTAAAAGAACACAAAACTAAGACAACACAGATTAAACACTGCTACAAATATACTGGGAAGTTGGTTTAATATCTGACTGTCGCGACCCAATCGCATGGAAACGTAGTTCATCAATTTGGGAAAAATGTTCCGCCTAAATTAGGGAAAAATAAATTGTGCAAGAAGTGATTTAATAAAGATGTTTTGAAAATTTCAAAGATCATATATTTAATGTGCACTTTGATGAAGCTTGCTTATGTCAAAGCTGCTCCACGCTTTATTAATGTTAGTTAAACTTGCCTGTAAAAATTAGGCATGTCGCGATCGGCACAGGGAAGCAGGCGAAGGAAGCCGTGGATACGAAAAAGGGATTTATTTGCGGAACATACGCAACGTTAATGACCGGATAGGGGAAACAAACGGAAACGCGGACTAAATACATTGAACTTATGACAGCAACAGGAAACAGCTTGTGAACATAGGGAATCCACACAGGGTAGATGAGGGGGCGTGGCACACGGGATGGTAGGACGAGCGGGGCATGACACATGAACGCAAAATTAAAGCGCTTAGGTAAGAATGTACGTTCAATAGCCTGCATAATGGATATGTTAATGGAAACATTTTTATTATAATAATGTGATTGTTTATATAGTTTTATATTGGATTGTGGTCAAAAATTTAGTTCCAGTCCGGTCCTGACTACTTCGCTTCATTTACTTAGCATGCTCCAAGTCAGTCATATAATAACGTTATCATATAGTCATATAATTCAACGTATCAGACAAAACAAAAAACCTCTTCCTTGAAATTTTTCACAAATTTTGAGCTTCATTGGTTTTGATTAAAAGTCGAAATGTTATTATATGGCAACCAAGTCTGCATTATAGACTAATTAACCCTTTGCCCTTGAATAGATAATTATAAGTATCAAGTAGCCTATTGAAAGACCTTTTTTAACACGTGCATTTTTAACCTGACGCGGTGTAAAAGTGCATACATACTGTAGAACGTGAAAAGTTGAACTTATGAAACATAGTTTGAATTATTTAAGAAATCACATTTGCATCATATAAAATAATATTTTATAATAATGACGTCATTACGAAATACAATTTAAATATTATACTCAGAACATAAACGATATTAAGAAAGATAATACCCTTTATTATTTAAAAATAAAAGGACAAATCATTGAAATTCTTATTTATTCATTTATATATATATATACTTATTTCATTTTACGGCGTTCATTATAAACTTCTTACAAATTTTGTTTGCCCTGGAATGCACCAATAGCTTTTGATTGCGGGAAAGTGAGATCCGATTACAAGCGGTCAGTCGAGACGCAAGCAGAGACGTATGTTAATACCCGGTGGGAACAGGGCCTACATCTTGTGGTCAAAACATGCATTATATTTTAAGTCATGGACGGCACTTTGTAATATTGATCTAGACGCAGGGATTGAGTAGGGACGTTTTCAGTAGGGACGATTCAGAATGCTCGCGAGGATGGATGCGGATAGATATCATATCCCCGTGCATCTCGCTCGTTTAATGGTTCCGTAAGCTTGTTGTTCCCCCGGACTCGCTTTACTGTAACACCGCAGTTACTCGTTCGTCCTTCTAGTTCTAGTATCTAGTTCGGTCTCGCTGGACAGTCAGTCAAGTTATGTACAGAAGTATCTCAAGGTAGGAAATGTAGCCCCGATCAAAGGTATAAAGTGAAATTTATTGTAACGTTGTATCATCATATATAGTTTAAGCACTTAACTTCATTAAGTCGCTCTATTATGTCTATATGCCGTATGACTGATTAATATATTAACTTCGCAGGACAGTGAAAGCCGAGGCTGCACTATGCTCCGCATATGTCCATTCCACCCCGCAGCGGGGTGATGTGTGCGGTGGACGGCTATCGGCGCACGACGACATGCCGCAGCCTTTCACCCAGTTAGTCCAAGGTCGGCTCCGCAGGCTGATGTCCGTCAGCTCGATGAGCACCGGGTGCGCAGGGGGACGTCCGATCGGCGCTTTCCCGGTCCTGCTTGGGGACCTGCAGCCTATCCACCGGCATGTGTACGAGGCGAACCTGCGAAACAGCGTGAGGTGCCATGTGAAGTAGGTGTGATATCCCCATCATATGCATCATTAAACATCATTAGACAGATCTCTAAAACTGGATTTTTTTCAGTTTTGGGGTGAACTCATAACTGCCTATGATAAAACTGCGACACACTGATTTGCTGATAAGTTTCTGATTTACTGAGTAGCATCGATTTACTGGGTGACTAATGAATTAGTGATTTTTTTTCCTTTGAATTACCCATGCAACCTGGTGAAATTTCTGCTTTCTTTTTTCTAAACAGTGACAAATTGAGTTATGGTTCTACAATCACACGGGAGCAGCCCTTGCAGGCACGTTCTCACCCGCTGCTGGTTTTTTTCTACCTCTTCCCTGGTGTTTCTGATAGGTACATGGAGTGTGCAGAGAAGGTGCGAAAGGGAGGTGGTGATAATGCAATAGCTCGCCATACTCAAAGGAACAAGAAACTGCTAGTGAGGGACCGACTCGGCCTGCTGCTGGATGGGAAGGACTTTCTGGAGCTCTCCCCCTTTGCCGGCCTGGGCCTGCCCTATGGGGACATCCCCTCAGCTGGCTGCGTAACTGGTAACGTTCATCTTGGGGCAAGTCTCGCTATATACCTGGACGTAGACATGAAGGCATGGAGACTATACTACGTCTTATAAATATTTTAAATTTAATTATGAAATTTAGACACTTCTAATCTGACCATCCATCTAACATTAGAATAAATGTAAGTCGATTTACCTAAGCCGGTTTCAGTTAACAAAAAATCCTAGTTAAAAAACTTATCTGATAAGGCATCATTTACTAAGAAGTCCATTCATATTCATTGTTGAAAAAATCAGGGGAGGTGGCTTCAAGTACCCAAGCTTGCAACACTAAACAGAGTGAAGCCTTTGGAATTTAAAAATTAAGTAATTGGAAAAAAAAGTGATTCATTGTATTGATAGAATTCAATTTCTGAATCTTGCATTGCATGTCCATAGTTCAGTACTGAAAACGGATACCTTTGTTGTTCTGCGTGCCTCTGGAAGGCATTGGGAAGGTCTGCGGCCTGTGGTGCGTGTTCATTGCCAACGATGCCACGGTGAAGGGGGGCACGGCGTACCCCATCACAGTGAAGAAGCAGCTCCGAGCTCAGGAGGTGGCCATCCAGAACCGCCTGCCCTGCATCTATTTGGTCGACAGCGGGGGTGCCTTCCTACCTCTTCAGGTACCGAAGGGCCACGGCAAATTTCTGCATTTGTTGTTTGCTGTGGTTCCTTTATACTGCACTTCTTAGAGGATGGTGACTTTGTATTTATTTACCAGTCAGACATCTTTCCTGACAAAAACCACGGCGGCCGGACTTTTTACAACGAAGCACTGATGTCTGCCATGAAGGTCCCGCAGGTACAGTTACAATCAGCATGTCTGTATCTGTGTGTTTACATGCATGTGAATAATGATATATTGATTTATTTAAAATCTTTATCCACTGTGAATTGCTGCTTCATAGCTCCAGGGTTATCTGTTTTGTTCCGGCCCCTGCCCTGTCTGACGTCTCCTCATTCTCCCCGTGTTTATGTGGGTTTTCTGGAGGTCGTCTTTTGTGAATTGGGATTTCTAAATGGCCCCTTAGTATGTACATGCGTGTGTGCCATGTGAGGGACTGGCCTTGTGTCGAGGGCGTGCCCTGTTTCACACTCTGTACTTCCCGTGTTGTGTGAGCTGCCCTTTTAATGTGTGCCTGTGATCTGCAGGTAGCTGTAGTTTGTGGGTCCTGCACAGCAGGTGGCGCCTACGTTCCCACTATGGCTGAGGAGGCTGTCATGGTGCACAGGATCGGGACCGTTTTCTTAGGGGGGCCGCCGCTAGTTAAGGCAGCCACCGGTGAGGAGGTTTCTCCAGAGGATCTGGGAGGGGCCCGTTTGCATGCTGAGTAAGTGAACATCCGGAACATTCATCACAGGCACAAAGCCTTTGCTGTGTCTTCATACTCAGTTTAAATTTAAAGAATTTATTTATCTGTGTTTGTTTCTTTGTTTAGAAACACAAGTACAATCAGTTTTGTTGTTTTGACCAACCAGGGATCTTCATCCTCTCCTCTCCTCCCCTCTGTCTATCTTCCATTTCTCAGCATTTTTTTTTCTGTGATCCTGTGCCTTTAAACTGTGCTCCCAGCCTATTATATAGCCTCTATCAAGCCAACATGTTATATAATTGGATTTTGAGGGATTTAATATTTGTGAAGTGACCCAATCACATCAAAGCATGTAGTTTACATTATACAGGGACACACCAACACCCTACACAAGAGTTTGCTGTCACAAAAAACTTTTATAAAGTTACTGTATAGAACACATGCATGCTGAGTTCTTAGCAAATCATGCCAGTTAAATTCTCTGATTTATATCCACCGGATTATGAGCTTTTTAACAGAGACCCCGATAGGGCATGCATATATTAGTCATACTGGATAAATACATTTCTACTAAAAGGTTTTGTTCAAATGAAGAGGAAATCTGAGGCCTTAGCGATAATTTGTGATATTCCAGAGTGAGTGGCTGCGTGGACCACTTTGCCCAAGAGGAGACTGAAGCTTACGAATGTACCAGAAACATCATCTCCACGCTTAATTATGAGCTTCCCGGTGACAATGACGTCAGCGTGGAGCAACCACTTTACTGTGCGGAGGAGCTGAGAGGTTTGGCTCCGAAAGATTACAGCCACTGCTTGGATGTCCGGCTGGTATGTAAATGGTGTACCAGTCTCACACAGACGACACAGGAAGGCAGTACACTGATGTTTCAAAACACTCCTCCTGTCACGTGTAGATTCTGAGTCGCCTGACTGATGGCAGCAGGTTTCAGGAATTCAAAGCTCGCTACGGAACGACGCTCATTGTTGGATTTGGCAGAATTGAAGGGTAAGATCTATAGGCTATGCCACCTGCATCACCCTGTCTAGAAAGAGCCACATAAGTACAAATATTTATTTGCAAAATGAAAGCGGGAATGTATATAATAGCATTAGCTGTCCTGTAGCTTTTACATGTGGCTGAGTGAGTCTGTCTGTAATAGGTGAGAGCATCTTCTTCAGTACATAGGGGACTGATGCATTTGGGGTGCAGTACCTTTCATTCCTAGAGTTTTAGATGGAGCCGTTTCATGATTCGTGTGATGTTCTTTGCTGGAGGGACGGTCTGCACATTGAGTGCAGTTGCCAGTTTTGTGTTTATTTGCATAGAAATTCTACAGCTCATGAATTCATCACTAATTACAGGAATAATGCTAATTAAATGTTTACAGGCAGACTTTATTTTACGTCATTATCTGCTGGTTAAATGTACCAGTTAATTTGTTCGGTAAAATAGATAATTATTTAAAATGTTTTTTTTCTCATTTGGACATGTACCTTACTGTTATAACACTTAAGTAGTCAAAGAAAATAACTGTACAGTTGCTTAGGAAAATAAACCCAATTTAACATTAGAACACATGCATATGAAGAGTAACACAATTAAAAACGAACAAGAATATTGTTAGTTGGATGGCTGGATGAACACCGCTTCAGTTCCCAAATCTCTCCTTAGGGGCACCCCTGCCATTCCATGTATTCCTTAAATTTCACTATAGCTCAATTAATCAATCAATTGATCAATTAAATTAGTTGTTAGTTAATAAATCTGCGGTATTGATTATCCAAACATGGAGTGCTAGTGGTCTAGTTAAAAAACACTTTATGAACGTCTCTTAACCAATGAATTCAGGTGTTTCATTCAGACCCATTGCCACAGGTGAATAAATCAAGCACCTAGCCTTGCAGTCAAGTTTACAAACATTTGTGAAAGAATGGGTCATTCTAAAGAGCTCAGTGAATTCAAGCGTGGTACTGTCATAGGATGCAACTATTGCAATAAGTCAATTTGTGAAAATTCTTCCCTGCTAGATATTCCACAGTCGGCTGTAAATGGTATTATTGCAAAGTGGAAGCATTTAGGAATAGCAGAAACACAGCCACGAAGTGGGAGACCACGTAGAGTTACAGAGCAATTGCAGCAAATACGGGGGTCATTTTAGGTGGGGTTTTGAAATCGCTAAGCTGACACACTTTGGCAGCTACAATATTATAGTTTTATACCAACCTGAAGCTCATTTAAACATGACTTTGTCTGCCTAAGACTTTCACACAGTACTGTATTTTCATGTATTTATTTGAATTCTCAAACATTTTAGACAACATTGAGATTTTTTTTTATTATAAATACCCTCTGTAACAGAAAACATGTACATTGGGAAAAAAAATAACAGCTCTGTGCTGGCTTTCTTTTATTAAAAAAAGTTTCCTTTGACCAGCTGGTTGCTGTGGTGCAGGAATGTTCTGATGTGACGAGTTTATTCCACCCTAGATGGAATAAAGAGAATAGAGTAAGGAGGAATAGACAGAAAAGGATTAGGCAGAAATTCAGTGACCATTTATTATCTAACCAAACTGTGATGTTTACTATCCAAAATTTACAAGTCAAACTCTTGAAAAAGCTGTGTGTAAAATTTATGATTTTTAATTTTAATTCATTTCCCCCCCCAGACATCTCATTGGCATTGTTGCAAACGATGGAGAGCTGAGGTATGAAGCAGCGCTGAAAGGAAGCCACTTTGTTCAGCTGTGCGACCAGCGAGATATTCCCATAATATTCCTGCAGAACACGCCTCCAGGTCTGGCCCACACTCTGACGGCAGCCCAGGTACTGCCCCCAATAATTTTACGATGTATTTACACCTTTGTTGGGTGCTCAGTAAATGCTGTGATTATCCATTTATTCAAGCAGTTCAGTTTAGGTCACAGCAGAACATCCTGACCCTATGACCTGAATAGACAAATGCCTCACAGCAAGTCCTTGGTTTTAAACCTCTATTTCGGAAGCTTTCCACTTGTCTATTACCCCTAACAGCCGGCTCTTTTCAGAGCAGCAGGTCCTGTAAATAGACTCCAGGTGCCTGAGCAGAAATAAATATTTTCAGATGAGAAATGTTTCCTTTACCTGGTGACTTTTCCTGGTTTGGCTTCTTTAGAAACAAATCCATTACAAATCCCAACTTCTATTTAAAATCTGATCTGGTGCTATTGCATACGACCAGCAGGTCTACCAGAGGTTTACCAATAAACCTCTTGTCTGAGTGCTTCTGCAAGGAAAGCACGATTTCTTTTTTCGCCCAGCGTAGCACGATTTCCAAATGCATCTTTCCCGACATGTTTGCCAAAACTCTAAAGTTTGCTAATACTGTAGTGAAACTGTGATTTCTGCTGCAGGCGGGGTTCAACACCAACCGGCTGAAGGCCCAGAGCTCTATGATCTCAGCCGTAGCGTGCTCCTCCACGCCAAAGATCACCGTGGTCATTGGAGGGTGTCATGGACCTGAGAGTTATGCCATGGTAGTAACGTTTATTATGAATCCATTATCAGTTTTTTTACACAGTAAATACCTTAAACATTAACTGTATACTCTAAGTAGACTCTCCCATCATCATGGACGCCTGTTGTCTGCTTTTATTTTAGTGTGGCAGATCCTTTGATCCCAACTTCTTATTCCTGTGGCCCAATGCCAGGGTGTCGCTGGTGGCACCTGGGCATTCTGGAGCTCTGCTTCAAGAGCAAGATGAGATCCAGAGCATCAATGACATGTGAGCCCTGATCCACCAGAAGTGCCTTTGGGATGTTTGTGTGAAAGCAGGACATCAAGATGTTAAGAGAAGATGTTAAGAGAATGTTACATGTATTGATGCAAATGTTCGTTCTTTCTTTAGGTTAGATGAGGAAAGCTCTGCTTTCTTTTCAACTGGAAGACTTTGGGATGATGGTGTGATTCTGCCCCAAGACACTAGAAAGGTAAACCTTACTGAGCAAAACTCTTTCTGGAAGCCTGTCAGATTATTGCCCGACATAATGCCTCAACCCATACATAGGGTGTGTCCGAAATCGCGCACTTGTGCACTTTTAGTGCGCGATTTTAGGGCGTAGTGCGTTCACACTGACAACTAAGCCAAAATTCAGTGCACTGAAAGTACCCGGATGGTGCAGAATGATGGACACTACTCGCACTAAACGGACGCCATTTTGACTACGTAGCGGAAGGGGAGGGACTTTCGGCAAGTTTTCGTTGTTAAATTAAGGCGGACAACAACACAGACACGTAAGCCCAAGCGGAGGCAACTGCTTCATATAAATCTAAGTAACGTTAATAAAATTATTTTAAAAATTATTTTACTGATGTGTACTGCGGTGTGTAGCCTGTCACTCTCTGATGACAGTTATAGATAATTTGAGTTTGCGATTTATATCGACTTAAAAGAGTTTGCACACGTAAATGTTAGCAGTTTTTTAGCCGGTTAGGCGGTAGTAGATAGGTTATATACACGCAAATAAAACCACAAGGAAATTCATTGTAAACAAAACATGGCAGATATTTTGGCGCGCTGGAGAATAGCGATCAAATGCTAGTCCTTCACTTCCAGTAAGTGCAAAACGTTAGTGTTCCATTTAGGACAGCACTTACCCATGGTAGTGTGCACTACAGAAGGAAGTGCGCAGTGCGCACTACGCACTACATCTCAGTGCACTGAGGCAAGTGCGCAATTTCGGACACACCCACAGTCTCATATTTCAGATTATAGCATGTGGTATGTCATCAACTGTCTATGGCCAGCAGATTGATCTGAAAGTCGGACCTGGTGGTGCTGAATACTGAGGATTGACACTTTTTTGGCACCGACCGAATTGCTTAGATACTATTGAGTATTGAAAAATGCCTGGTCATTCGCTGCCAAATTTTTGATAGCTAAGGGGTAAATGTCATCAAGCTGATATTAAACGTGCATTTTGTTTAAATCTTCCATGGAATTTGTTCGGTATAATGCGTGTTTTTTTTTTTGTGAATGGCAGACCTGCTTTAGTCATAATTACTAAGAGAATAATTTGGTAAACTATGATGAACTTATGGCGTAATATAGGCGAATGTCAATCACTCAAAGATTTTGTAGGTTGTTTATGACCAGTTAACCCTTAATGGGCTCATAGGCTACTGCAAACAAATGGATCTTTGTTTTTAAACCGCTACTGCTTTCCCATGATTTATGCAGTTTTGTGATTTATGTACAGTACGGGTAATGTGAGGCAGTAGGTGAAATGTTGGCAGGAAAAACAAATATATATGGGTTTTTTAAATAGGATAATGTGGAAGCATTGCCAAACAAAGATATAAATAAAACTAAAAATTTGTACTGTAATATAAACTTTTTTTTGTTAAAATAAATTTTATAGAATCGGTATCAAGAAAAAGTATCGTTCAGGAACCAATATCAATGTCTAGCTATCGGTATCAGTACTGGTATCGAAAGCTTCTGAATATCATCCAGCCCAATTACCAGGGTGTCTTTTTAAGACACTGGAACACTTTTAAAACGCACTTTAAAAGTAAGTTTACCAAACTTGCAGACATTTTGTATAGGAGGCAAACTGGAAGTGATAAAATTTTGAGATGGATCACCCAAAAGTTGAAGCAGCAGTGCATAGTGATAGTATAAAAGGGCAGATTCAGACACTTGATCCAGAAAGATCCTTATCCAGTGCAATAACTCAAAAGGTGTATTATACATGGCAGATCTTTTTCAAGCTATTGTAAGGGAGACAATCTGGACCTGTTCAGATTTTGAGCGAAATTGATGCTTGACGATCGATTTTGATGCTTAACCTTGTGAACAGGATAAACTCTGATATTATTACTCTATTTGATCTTTGATGGATATTAATGCCACTTCACAAAAACAATGTATGGATGAAAATATACATCTGAAAATCTGACACCTCCCCAAAAATTGAAACCGCAGCGATAGGTGGCAGCAGAGGACGTGAAATGTGGCTGACATTTAGTTATTCCAGTGGTATGTCTGTTACAGCTTTTACTCTTATGGCATGAAAAATGTTGGTCATAGTGTGAGTGAGAAATTGAATATAAATGTTTAGACATATAAAGAATATAAACTATATATAAATGGAGGTCTTAAGACCTGGACATTAATGCATACATAGAGTAATACAGTTAACCATCTAATCAGTGGGGAAGGATTGTGCATGTAAGTGGAATGTGCAGAAAATGAATAGGTGTAGTTTCAGAGTTATGTGTCATGACTAAGATTGGGATAAATAACATGGGTTGAGTGTTAGAGTAGTAGGGAGTAGATGGGGGGGGGGGATTACAGGGCTGTCCGGGAATACATGGTAGTTCCGACAGCGTCTTTTCTAGCTATAATAAAAAAAACATGTGCTGCAAAAAAATCTATCCACTGGTTCATCAATACGTCAATGTAATTTTCTTTCATCCAGCGGAATATTTTTGGAAGTCTTAAACTAAAGTAGTGAAAAAGGATCACAGTGGCTGAAATGGGAACAAGGAAGAATGATTGTTTGAAATATTGTAGAGTAGGTCTGTCCAACCCTGCCTTTTGGGCAACATTAATTTTTAAGTTATTTAAATCTGGAGTCATTTTGTTGGGTAATTCAGTCAAGAATGTAAAAATCTGCAGAAAACTGTGCACCTCTTCCATATATCACAATAATAATCTAATCGTTGGTATTAATCACTTTTAGTGAGCTCAGATCATTGCTGGCTTTTTTAATAAGTAGCTGGTAAGCTTTGTCGTTCTTTGTTTTGATTTTTTGTGTGTTTTATCAGGTGTTGAGCAATTGTTTGAAGATTATTAAGCAACAAAACTACCAGACTTCCAAAGGAAGAGAATCTTCTCCAGTTCTACGGATGTAACTCTGCTTCTGTGCATCTGTACCAAGGTGCTGATTTCAGGTTTTTTTTTTGTTTTTATTTTTGTTTTTTAATCTGCACATGAAGTTTTATGAAAAGCATTATACAGCTTAATGACAAATTTAGGCTGCTTACCTTATATTTTACTTATTTACACCTTGTCTGTGATGTCCCAGTTTGATATCTTGTCAATGATAAATATACAGACAAATGTTCTTTTTCTTTCAGTGATGCAAAACACAAAGGCAAAGTTCATTGTTGCATCTATTTTTGACTTGAATTCTATTGAGAATCTGTGAAATTTATATAGATACCAAAAAATATTACCACAATAAAATATTTTGCCATATTGCCCAGTCCTAACACCAACTAAAATTACCTTTTCAAAGCATAACATTTTGTTTGTTACTATATTTGTATTTATAATTTTGTAATTAAAGAATAATTTATGGACATTTAACAACTTTTAAGGAAGGGTATAAATGCTTTTCCAAGGATCTGTATAATCTGACTGTGAATGTTGTCTGTTGATTGACTGACTTGCGCCTCGACAGACGTTTTTAGAAACAAGGCACCATTTTGGAAAACCAGTCTGTCCTTTTGACAAATAAGAGTAATTGATGACTGATTATATTAACAACAAAATGTTTGACATATTTTTATTATACATTATATTTGCAAAAAATCTTTTCATTCTAGTATTTTAATGCCATATAGGACAGTGCCTTACAGTATGTTTGTCCCTTGACGTCCTATTTACCTTTAACAAACAACATAACAAATGAGAGCCTCGTCCCTTAAGGGGATTTTTGTCTCTAGCAGCTAAGAGTAAAGTTTAAATTTAAAAGTTTAAATGTCACCTTTAATCAGGGCAAACAGAATGTTTAATATTACTATCCTATAAATAAAAACATGTAGTTATTTCCACTCTTATTTAGGCAAGGAGAGTGTATGCTTCAGGCACCTGTAATGATATTTACATGCTCTTTAAGGTTTGTACATGCTGTGAAAGGTCACAGGGAAGGTGACCTCCACCTCTGCCCAGGCAGTCTCTCTCAGGTCTTTGGTGTTGAGAATCAGCAGATATCCTGGCCTCTGGGCGGCCCTGGGGTTCCCCGCGATGGTCAGCAAATCTCCTGCAGAGGCAACCAGTCAGCAGTATCACGCAGGGCTCTGCTAAACCCACTTTTGGCAGAAGCCTTACAGTCTGCATGCTTCCTGTCATTCTCCTTAGGCCTGTTTGGAGTCTGCGCAGACAGCGGCCTGGGGGGGGGTAGGAGTCTGCATCCTGCCACACCCAGGCCTCCTTCGTTTTCACATTTAGTTTACATATCTGGGAATCGACAAGAAAGGAAAACTGCTTTGACGACCTTTAGCATCGCTATTTTAGAAACACACGGGCATTCTTGAGCACGGTTGCTGTGCTCACCCTGCCTGGGATGATGTGGTTGAGGCCAAGTCCGTAGGCGTAAGTGTAGTCCTTTCCACAGAAATTACGGTAGTTATTCTGTGGGAATTCAAATGCTTTGGAAGAAAGATACATTTCCCTAAGACTAATTCTTATTGTGAGCTCATTAGCGTATATCACCAGTCAATCAACATAGGCTATAAGAGTGCTACAGAACATGACAAAAGATGTACATGTATGCATGTTCTGAATGAATTCATTTTTAGAAAAAACACATACTGTAAGTACCCTGACGTGGGCCAGAGAACAGAACCTCTGGTTCTAACCAAATGGTTCCATCACTGCATAAGACTGCAGTGGCTGTGGAGTAGGGCAGAGTAATCAGATTCTTCTCCTTTGCTCTCTAGGATTGTTGTTTACTGTCCTGTGCGTGGTAATGAAAATGAAAATCTTACTCTGTATGTTCCGTCTGGGCACAGTTGACACAGATCAAACAAAAGACATATCAAAGACAGACTGTGCAATGTAAACATATAAACATTTAGGAACAGGAGATGTGTGTATGTGTGTTTGTGTATGATGATGATACAGATATGAGAAAAAGACATTCCTCCAGTAGAGAGAGAGAAGTTGTGCAAAGTCTGCAGTATTGTGTGTGTGTGTGTGTGTTGTTGGGGGCTTACACCATTCAGCGGTCACAGGAAGATTGTGGGATGGGACATGCCAATTTCACTGACACCGTTTTCCCATGTATCTATCGTTCTGAAGTGTTATTCTGACATCAAGAATGTGAGACTTGGAGAACATCGATTCACCCAGTTCTCTTCGGTGGGTACAATGTATCGGCGCACTTGAGGCTGGGGGGCCACCATGGCAAATTTTTTAACCACCTCCCTGTTTTTGCGGAGATTCACCAGGTAGAGGTACCGTAGTTACAGACAAAATGAAATCTACAGTCCAGCACAACGGAGGCATTAGTGATTGTAATAAAATGGTAGTTAATTTTTATCACAAAATAATTACATATAGACAATCCTCACCCCTTCCAGGTACATACTGTAAGTCAATAACAATGAATCCTTGGTCCTCATAGCAGTTGATGTGTGATGGAAGAGGTTGAAGGCAGATGTTCTGAATTTATAATCTTTATATTCACCTGGCATTTATGACTGTGTGTGTGTGTGTATGTGTATATATATATATATATATAACAGAATGGAATTATGATGCATCTAAATTGATGTTTCTTCGAATAATTATTGCACTTACACGCATGTTTTCATTGGACTCAAAACAATCCATGTAGTTGGTTTCCCGTATTACCCAGGCACACAGGAATTTTAGCAGGTTGATCTTAACTGGAGTCTCAACAAAAATAGTTTTCAGTGATTCCAAAACTGGATTTGAACAAATACTTGACCAAAGAAATCATTAATCGCTAAACAAGTCCTACTAACCTGCCTACAGTTAATCAGCTATGAGATGTAATTTAGCTACATTCTTGTGTTATAAAGGGGATTCATTTGAGAGAAGCATCATTTTCATTAGTTAGCTGTCAAGCTTGTGCCGTAACTCAGCTTCTTGGACAAATCACACCATCACAAAGAATTTGAACGAACCTATATGGACACATAAAGGCTTAAAGCGCTCGCTGCTAAGAAATTGCACAATGACTTCTGCTTTCTGAAATGGATCAGACTTATCCGTGAATGAGGGAGTAAGTGAGAGTCAGCCATTCAGAACATGAAACGCGATTAAGTTTTTACCGGAATTATAGTAACATAAGAACATAAGAACATAAGAAATTTACAAACAAGAGGAGGCCATTCGGCCCATCAAGCTCGTTTGGGGAGAACTTAGCTAATAGCTCAGAGTTGTTAAAATCTTATCTAGCTCTGATTTAAAGGAACCCATGGTTTTAGCTTCCACTACAATAGCAGGAAGACTATTCCAT